AACTATCATTTAAAATCAAAGGGCAGATAAAGAGATTTCCAGACAAGAAAAGTCTAAAGGAGTCTCCCAGCCAAGATGGAGGCATAGGAGGAAACATTGTGCCTCCTCGCACAACCAAGTTTAAAGACAACAAAGTTTTAGTAACAAAAAAGCAACCAAAACAGAGAAAATTGAACTATACGGAAGTCCGACAACAATGAAATGTTCAGCTAGACTGGTAAGAGGGGCAGAGCCAGCAGCAGAGCGGGGTTGGACACGAAAGATCCACGGGACCAACCCAGGCTTGTAGGCAGCAGTTGGCAGATCCCAGGTGTGGGGTAGCAACGGGTGGACCAGTGAGGGCGCAAGGCAGCAGGCTGACCGCAGTCACACATTTGCGTGCAGATAAACCAGCTGAAGGAGCAAACAGTGAGACAGACCCTGCAGGCCCCAATGGCGGGAAGAAGCAGAGGGGACTGCTATTGCCCCTCTTTGACCCATATACAGCATCACAACCCAGCAACCTGGGTGGCCCCACCTTGGTGAACACCTAAGGCTTTGCTCCTCATATGTAACAGGAGTGAACAGACCAAAACATGGCTCAAGAAGAACTCAAAACCCCAGAGCCAATAACTCTAAGTGACCAAGAAATAGCCAACCTATCAGATGCACAGTTCAAAATACTGGTGATCAGGATGCTCACAGAACTGGTTGATTTTAGTCACAAATTAGAGGAACAAATGAAGGCTAAACTAGTTGAAATGAAGGGAAATGCACAGAAAACCAATAGTGATGGAAAGGAAACAGACTCAAATCAAGGGAGTGGACCAGAAGGAAGAAAAAATGACCAAACAGAAAAATATGAAAAACAAGAATTTTTAAAAAATGAGGAGAGGCTTTTAGAAACCTCCAGGACATCTTTAAATGCTCCAACATCCGAATTATAGGGGTACCAGAAGGGGAAGAGGAAGAGTGACAAGTGGAAAACTTATTTGAACAAATAATAAAGGAGAACTTCCCCAGTCTGGCAAGGGAAATAGACATCCAAGAAATCCAGGAAGCTCAGAGAGTCCCAAAGAAGTTGGACCCAAGAAGAAACACACCAAGGCACATCATAATTACATTAGCTAAAATTAAAATGAAGGAGAGAATCCTAGAAGCAGCAAGAGCTAAGGGGACAGTCACCTACAAGGGAGTTCCCATCAGACTGTCAGCGGATTTCTCAAAAGAGACCATACAGGCAAGAAGGGGCTGAAAAGAGGTATTCCAAGTCATGAAATCCAAAGACCCACATCCAAGATTGCTCTATCCAGCAAAGCTTTCATTGAGAATGGAAGAACAGATAAAGTGCTTCTCAGATGAGATCAAATTCAAGGAGTTCATCATCACCAAGCCCTTATTATATGAAATGTTACAGGGACTTATCTAAGAAAAAGAAGATAAAAAATATGAACAGTGAAAGGACAGCAAACTTGCAGTTATTAACAACCACACCTAAAACAAAAGCAAACTAAGAGGACAGTTAGATCAGGAGTGAAACCATAGAAATGAATATCACATGGAGGGTTAGCAACAGGAGAGTGGGAGGAGGAGAAGGGGGGAGAAGGCACAGAGAATAAGTAGCATAGATGGTAGGTAGAAAATAGGGGGAGGGGAAGACTAGTATGGGAAATATAGAATCTAAAGAATTTGAGACACATGGACATAAACCAAAGTGGGGGAATGGTATGAGAGGGGGTGTGCAGGGTGGAGGGGAATGAAGGGGGGTAAATAGAACAACTGTAATGGCATAACCAATAAAATATATTTTTAAAAAGAAAAATCTGAAGGAGTTTATCATCACCATACCATTATTATATGGAATGTTAAAGGGATTTATTTAAGGAAAAGAAGAATATCAAAACTATGAACAAGAAAATTGCAATAAATACATATCTATTAACACTTGAATGTAGAAATAAACTTAGCAAACAAGCAGAACAGAAACAGAAACGTAGCTATGAACATTTTGATGGCTGCCACAGGGGAGGGGGTTCTGGGGGTATGAGTGAAAAAGTGAAGGGAATAAGAAGCAAATTGCTGGTTATAAAATAGTCATAGGGGATGTAAAGTACAGTATAGAAAAGGGAGTAGCCAAATAACTTAGATGCATGACTCATGGACATGAACAATGGTATAGAGATTGCCTGAGGGAGTGGGGGGTGCTGTGTGGAGGGAAGTATAAGGGGGAAAATTGGGACAACTGTAATAGCACAACCAATTAAATATTAAAAAATAAATTACTTTTTCTTTTCACTATTCTAATTGGGTGTTTCACTACCTTATCTTCCAGATTGCCAATATGATCTGCTTTATCTAATAAACTGTTGATTCCCTGTAATATATTTTTCATTTCAGTTATTGTATTATTTTTCTGACTTTTTCTTTATGTTTTCTATCTCTTTTTAAATGTTTCCCATGAGTTCTCATTGAGGTTTTTCTATTCTTCCCCTAAGTTCAGTGAGCATCCTTATAACAGAGTTTTGAATTCAACATCTAGTGGATTGCTTGTCTCTATTTCATTTAGTTCTTTCTCTGCAGTTTTGTCCTGTTCTTTCATGTGGGACATGCTTCTTTGTCTCCTAATTTTGGCTGACTTCTTTTGTTTTCATGTATTAGGTAGATTGGCTAAGTCTCCCAGTCTTGACAATGTATCCTTATATAATAGGGGTCATGTGTGGTCCAATGTCCCTGGTCACTTGAGCCTAGTGTTCCAGGGGTGTCCCTTGTTTTGGTAGTATGTACCCTCCTGTCGTAGTTGAACCTTGATTGCTGTTAGCATGTCAGTGGGTGTGACTGACTCTCTGGTTGACTGTGGAGAATAGCTGTGTCTATAGCAGACAAGCTATTGTGCAGGGGGCTGATCCCACTGAGCAGGATTCACTTTACTGGGGTTCTTGTGCCTGCTCAATCTGCCCTATGGGTGTGTCATAAGTGACTTTGTTTGCGTGGTGCTCTGGTGTTCTTTGAAGCTGGCCACTGGTTTTGTTGATTCTAGAAGGGACTCTGACACAGGCAAAGTCAGCTACTTTCTATGTGTGGCCCAGAGCTACCTGGTAGGGTTTACAGAAGGATCTGTGGTTAGTTACCATCTGTGCTTGTCTTGGAGGCCTCTGAGAGTGGTTATGCTGTGAATCGAGGACAGTTGCCTCTAGTGCTGGGCTTTGTACTGCTCAGCAAAAGGTTTGGTCATGCAAAGGCCAGCCACTGCTTGTTTGATGTTTGTGGACTTTTGAGAGATATTAAGAAAACCTGAAACATGAGCCATGAAAGGCCACTTGTATGGGAAAGCTGCTAAGAGAGGTTCAGTCTGAGTGTGTGAATTGGGTGGGGCAAGGTCTCAGAAAATCACCAGGGTGGGAAGAATGGTTTTAACTAAAATAATGAATAGCTGTATTTGGCACCCACCTGCACCTGGATAGCTAAATGAAGAGAGGTTCTCAACAAAGGAGCAGTGGCCTCTGGCAGTACTTCTATCCTAGGGAGAGCTGCTCTGATCCCTGCCCCTCCAGCCCTTGCCCTGAAGATAGTCAATTTGGCTCCTTCTTGGATGTCCTTAGTTCTTTACGAGCTGCTACCGCAGTGCTGGGGTTCAGAGTGAGTGAGTTTGTGAGCATGTGAGTCTGTGTGAAGTCCCTTTAAGAGCTGTAGTGCCTGGGGCTCCAGCAGCCCTCCATATCACTCAGCCACAATCCTTGCTGCCAGATATTATAAGGACTTCTCTTTCTGGCATTAGATCCCTGGGCTGGGCAGCCCAGTGTGGGCCTGGGACCCCTTGATTCTCAGTGGGGACCAATGCAGCCTAAGTATCCCTTCAAAATTGCCACACAGTTGTGGGGCCTGCCTGTTTCGTGTCTTGATCTCTTCTATGAGACTCAACATGGCTTTCTCTTTATATCCTTAGTAACAGGAATTCTGTTCAGCTAGCCCTCGGGTCGTTCTCAATGATGGTTGTTCTGTAGCTTAGTTGTAATTTTTTAAAAAATTTATTTAGTTATTTTTCAAGTACAGTTTTAGCTTAGTTGTAATTAAAAAATAATTTAAAAAATCTTCAGTAACCATCCTCTTTTTTTTTAGACAGAGGGGAAGGGCCATATGTGGTTGCCTCACACGTCACCCACTGGGGACCTGACCTGGCCTGCAACCCAGGCATGTGCCCTGATTGGGAATCGAACTGGTGACCCTTTGGTTCACAGGCTGGCACTCAGTCCACTGAGCCACACCAGCCGGGGTAGTTTAGTTGTAATTTTGATGTGGTCATGGTAGGAGGCAAGCACAATATTTATCTACTCTGCCATCTTGACCAGAATTCTTTCCCTCTTTCTAAATCTCAGACATGCTATTTTATTCTTTTTGGAGTAGCAGGACCTCTCAACCCAATATCATCTTTTTTTTTTCTAACCTATCCCTTCAAGAAGTTTAAGTTGGGAGAAATGTGATTTGAAAAAATAAACATATACAGAAGGCACTTAAATAATATTGTTTTATTCATTGTCACTTTCTTTTTTTATATATTTTTAAAGATTTTATTTATTTATCTTTAGAGGGGAAGGGAAGGAGAGAGGGAGAGAAACATCAATGTATGGTTGCCTTTCATGCATCCCCTGCTGGGAACTGGCCTGCAGGGAACCAGCCTGCAACCCGGGTATGTGCCCTGACTGGGAATCGAACTGCGATTGTCTGGTTCGCAGGCCTGCGCTCAATCCACTGAGCTACACCAGCCAGGGCCACTTTCTTTTAACATTGATGAGATGCCACAGGAACTTAACTCTTGTTTATATCAATTAGCCTATGGCAAAATTGGTTTCATTTACATTGTTTTGTGACAGTTTCAAGAACTTATTGATGATGTTAGGTGAGGACTTACTGTACTTTTCTTGGCCTCAATACCCCAAACTATCAAAACTAATCCTATCTCTGATTGCACACAGCCTGTGAGGGGAAAAATATCCCCAATGGTTGAGAGCCAAAAGAAGACTGACCTGGTTGCGATGATCATCTCTGTGGCATACTTGGCCTTCAGGATTTTGTTCAACTCAGTGGCTGTAGATTCTAAGTGTTGGATGGCAGCAGCCTAGGGAGGAAAGGAGTATTCAGCCCTGGAACCTCAGCACTATGACATGGTGTGCTGTCCATCCTTATTCCCTATTATTTGTTTACTGACTCTTTACCATTGACTCAACTGCTTCTCTGGAAATAATCATAAGCAAGGAATTCTTTTGAAGATCCTTGTAGATAATATTATATCTGTGGTCATTCTAAAAATAAGAGGTCTATATTGTTTACTTTTATTGTAATAAGTATTCCAAACTCATATAAAGGTGGTAATGTTTGTTCCATTTTTCAGATGAACAATCTCATATTACATAGCCAGTAAATAATAGATTTGGGATTTGAACCCATATTTTTCCAATGTCAGAGTATCACCTCTTATATAATAATATTAGTAATAATAATAGCATCCACTTATATAGTACTTACTATGTGCCAGGCTCTGTTCTAAGCTACAAGTATATTTTTATGTACTTTTAATAAAAGCCCTATGATATAAGGATTATTATTATCCCCATTTCATAGAACAGGAAGTTGAGGCACAGGGAAATGGGTAGCTGATAAATGGCAGAGTCAGAATTCCATTCCAGGCAGTCTGATCCTTGAATCTTTTAACTTCTCTGTACTTTTAACTACAACTTGTGTCTACCAAGCTCTGATGATTCTTTCTTCAATATGTCTTAAATATGTCCATTTCTCCTTGTCTCTGTTACCACTACACCAGTCCAAATCGTTATCTTTTCCCCAGACAATTATAGTGTTTCTTGTTTTTTCCCTTTGTCTCCAGTCTTTATTTTTTCAATTGTTTCTTCACATACCATGCAATTACCCTGCTTAAATCCTTTCTATTGGATAGCAGAATAGTTAGATGAACAGATTTGTGATAAAGTATAGTAGAATATTAATAGTAGAATCTACCATTTAAAATTTCCTATATGTTTGAAAATTTTCATAATGAGATAAAAACAAATCTTCTATGATTCTCATTGCTCTTAGGACAAAAGTTCCAACTTTCTATCATGGTTTAACAGGTTCTTCCTGGCATGCCCCTCATTACTTCTTCAGCCTTATCTTTAGTCATTCTGCTTATACACACTTCCTGACCCCTATGTCTCAGCCATTATAAAGGCATTTCAGTTCTGTGAATACTCTGTGTTCTCTTTCCTTTGGAACACACACACGGTTCCATCTATCTGCAACAGTCCTCCTGTTTTTTTTACTCTCCTGCTTAATTCCCTCTGGTCCCTAAATATCTTCTGAAATGGTGCTCATTCAGAGAAACATTCCCTGATTTCCCCCAGACTTGGTTAGGTACACCTGCTGGGTGTTCCCACCCCTGCTATTTCTTTATATACTGACAGTCATACTACTTTATAAAAACTATTTTTCTACCACTGCACCTAGACTATGAGCTCCATGACAGAATGGGCTGTGTCATTCTTCTTTACCAAGTAGCATATAAAAACAGCTGATAGAACAGTATTTCACACATAGTAGTCAATCCATAAATATTTTCTATAAATATTTTGAGTGAATATGTAAGTAAATCACTGAATAGATTATATCCCCAGTACCTACCACAGTTTTTAGTAAATAGCTGCTGATTGACATGTCCCCAAATTTTCAAGGATCTCATTTTTATCAAGCTCATAGACAGCACAATATTTTATCTCTGGATTTTGCCTATTATTTCACTGTGTAATAAAGATGTTGGCTTGAATCACAGTTGAGTAGTAATTACCTCAAATGTGGGTATATCCATTTCTACATGTCCTCTTAGCAATGGGGTTTGTCTTGGAGTCTCGCGGATCATCACACTCCATCTAAAATGAAGTTCGAAGACAGACAGATATTTAGAACTCTGTTTCATCACAGGCTGGCATTTTTGCTTCATATGTGAAAAAGTAATCAAAATGTTTATATGCTGGTGAGAAATGCATTTTAGTGAATGCCCAAGCTATCTCAAGTCACCTGATCTTAGGGTATACCACAAGAGGGGTCTCTGCCTCATAGCATCTCTAGGACAGTGCGATAGAAGGAATTCTATCGTAAGATTCTCAGAGAGCAATGCTTCTCAACCAGAGGTAACTATCAAGATCACCTAAAGGCCCTGGCTGGCATAGCTCAGTGGATTGAGCATGGGCCTGTGAACCAAAGGATCATGGTTTGATTCCCAGTCAGGGCACATGCCTGAGTTGCAGGCCAGTTCCCAGCAGGGGACACACGAGAGGCACCCATACGTTGATATTTCTCTCCTTCTCTCCTTCCCTTCCCCTCTAAAGATAAATAAATAAAATCTTTAAAAAAATCACCTAAAGTGCTTTTGTAAGATACACATACCAGGGTCCCACCCAAGACTTACTGAATTAGAATATTTATGGTAGGGCCCAGCTTGGTATCTTGAGAAAGCATACCAGGATATCATTATGGGCAGTCATATATCAAATACTATGTCCCAGCACAGAAAGTTGTTTTTTATCAGAAGATAGGATGGAAATACTCTCTCATCTCTAGAGCAGAGACAATGTAGGCCAATTGTTCATAAACTCTTGCTGTTTTAGTTTCCTTGCAAACCTAATGAAGCTATAGAATAGTTTTTATACTTAAAAATATGCTTACATAGGTATGCGATTTGAAGGAGGTTCATGGAACCTTTGAAATTTAGCCATGGAGCTCCTGCTCTAGAATATTTTAAGTTGATGATGGGCTTCAGTGATGTTTGAAGGATACATGGTAGACCCTGGTTTCTTAATAGTCAAGCCCCCCACCTCCCAAACTGTCCCTTACTGAAGCCAGAAAGGCTCTGTGAGGGAGGTTAGAACATTCCTGATTGAAATGATATAACTGGGAGTAAAGAGTGTAACAACTAGAAAAGACACAATGTCCTGATATTTCAGCCACTCACCTGTCTAGAATCCTTACACTAGCCTGCTCTACTCTGTTGAGGATAATCAGGGGTGACTTGTTTTTGTTCCAGAATGCACCCCAGCCTAGGACACGAGCCAGATCATTGCCAGTTCCAAGAGGGATGACTGCCAGCTGACACTGCAAGAACAAAACCAGACACTGTTTTCAGACAATGCTACCACAATTCAACCATAAAAGAACCCAGGAGGCACTATTTGGGAAAGATTATGGTATCAAAGCCAGTGGCAATAAGGGATTTATGACTCTAGGAAATGTGATAGAAAGATGTTCAAAATGAACTTAAAATTTCCCTAAGAAGTTGGGCTCTGCTATTGGTTATACAAAACCTACCCAGTGAAGGCAAAAGTTGCTGGAATATACTAATATATATAGTCATTATAGGAAAGAGAAATATGGCCACAGATCTGTATCTAGCTGGGCTAAAGAGGTAAGGAATCTCAGGAGACAAAGCTACTGGATTTAGAAGAGCAGAGGGCTGCTTAGGGAAAGCGGGGAGAGATAGAGGAAAGTTTGTTACTCTTAAGACTCAAGGAAGACAATCAGTTGCCTCAGGAAGGGTAGGAAATAGGGACTGAATCTTGCCTGAGGCCACTTTTTTTGTTTCCTCTCCTCCCCTTGCAATCTTCACTTTGGGGCTTGAGGAATAGAGCACTGCTCATATTTTCTGCTCTTTCATTTCTCTGTCCTTAGACAACTAGAAAATGGTCTAGGTGAGCAGGCTTAGACTGGAAATCTACCAGTCAGGTTGAGTATGAAACCAATAGAAAACATATATTTTATAGATAAGGAGAGTAACAACCAAGAACTTGTTGGGATGAGAAACTCCACATCCCAGTCTCTCTAGCACTGGCTAAACTCAGTTAGCTAGGGATTCACCTTTTCATGTAATTCTAAGGCATCAATCAGAGATAAGACCCAGCTCACACTGCCATCTCCTCCACAAACTGCAATTCGAAAGCGAGCAAAGTTCTTGAACATGGAAAGCCTGGAAATGAAAGGGGAAAAAGGAGTCATTTCATGAACTTCTGGGTTTTACAACTTTCCTACAATGTGCCAGGGCCCAAGGACTGCCGTTTATGTACCCTTCTAACAGGATACCTGCCTTTTTCCCTTAGTCCCTATCTCTCTGTGTACCTAAAATTATAGGCAATGGTACCACAGGCAGTCCTGGAGGTCAGACCTTGCCTGAATACACACTATTCTGTGCCCAACCTTGCTCTGGGCAAGCTTGCTCATGTGAAGCTACTAGTAACCTAGCTAAATGTACTTCCTGAGGTCCTAGAAGAATGCCTCACATGGTAGCCAATGGACTCACAGAAACTAGGGCTGAACAGCCAGATGACTGTCAAATAAAAGAGGCCTGTAGTAGAGATATATCTATTTGGCCCCATGGAGGAAAAAAAGAATGAGTGACAGAAAAGGTTGACAGCAATATTCATTTGCCTCCACCTCTGAGGTTAGGAAATATAGTTTTACCTTTTCTAACCAGAAAAGGTGGAGTAAATCTGAGAGCAGGATATGGGCTTGCAAGTATTTCTGGGAGAGGGCTAAAAGTCCTCCAAAATACAGGCCAATCCTAAATACTCTGGAGTTATTGCATCTGAGCCCTAACTCGAGAAAATAGTTCTTTTCTGCCTAGGTACTAGAACTAATTCCAGGAAGTCTATTCTAGTCTAGAATGTATAAAAGGCAAACTCCTTTCTATATACCCACTATATGCCTTTTCCCATGCTTACCCAGCTTCAGGTCCACCCTTTGACAGGTCAAACACTTGCGATGGGTTAAGGTATTGCTTAAATTTTCGGAGGAAGACGATCCCTTGATGATCACCACTTTTGGAGTTGATGAAGATGAGAAGGGGACATGAACAGGCTGATGACCAATCAAGATTCCAGAAGTCTGAAGATACTACTAATTGGCCTGATATATGCACACAACAAAAAGAAAAAGAAGGGAAAGAAGAACAGGCCATTGAGACGGAAACAAGATACAACTTAACATCAAATTTTGCAAACACCTTTTTTAAAAAAACAGTTTAATTGAGGTATAATTGATATAGAAGAATTGCACTACTTAATGTGTACAATTTAACGAGTTTAGGCATAAGCAAGCAGCCATAATACCATCACCATAATCAAGCTAATACACATTTCCAATATCTCCCAGAGTTTCCTTGTGCCCTAAACTCGGTAAGGTACAGGAACAGAGGAGAAATCAGTATAAAACCCAAGGGGCTTTTATTAAAAAACAAACAAACAAACAAACAAACAAACAAACAAAAAACAGTCTTTATCCAGCTATTGCCAGGCAACTGACATTTGCTGAGCAACTACTACATTCTAATCATCATGCTAGCTACTGCTAAGAGTATGATTCCTGACCTTAAGCTGGGGAGACAGGGTCATACACAAGACTACACTGGAACATAAGGAATAAAGAAATTGGTGCCACAGTGAAGAATTAATAAAATGCTAAGGAGAAACTGAAGAAGGAGAAGATTGAGAGCCAAGGAGGAAAATCAGTATGGCAACTAGTCCTTTTTGTGCTAGGGATCTGCCTTGTTTCTTATAGTGAGAAGATACCGGGTCAGGAGAGAAGGGAGAAAAGGCTGCCTTTTAACTATGAGTGAAAAATCGAATATATCAATGTGGGATGAAGCAGGGATCTTAATTAACTCCTCTTAGCTCTGATAGAGCAATTCAAGTTATCACACCAACTTTCAAAGAAAACAAAACTATAGGGAAATTGTCTGAGCAAGAGAGAGGCTTTTTAATAATCCCCAACACTGAAGTTCTCCATAGAGAACTGGAGTTATAGCAGTCTAAATTTCCAAAGGCTGCCAGCTTGTTTTGAATCTTAGAGCTTTTTGGAAGGGGGATAAGCACTGAACAATGGCCCTCTAGGGGATTCTAGACAAATCATGGGCCCCCAAATCTCTAAGCTTGTAGCTCGCCAGGGATGCTTCAGCAAAAATAAATTCAGAAGGCAAAAATCATGTAGCTTGTTCCTGAATGGTTTGGACCAGGGGGTGGATTGAGAAGTACCATTTGTTGTAGCCTGGGTGAAAGGTAGCTTGAAGGAAAAATGCTGACTTGAGCAGATTGCATGGCTGTTTTGCTTGAAAAAATCTAAAGCAGTCTTCCTCTAGGTCCAATTTCTAAGCCTGCTAGCCAGTCATACACCAAATTTTCAGGGCTTGCCAGGACTCAGCAAAGGGGCGTCTGTTATGTCCCCTCGGTAGTATAGCTTGGAAGTAGTTACTCACCCTGAACATGTTAACCAAAAGTAGTCCCCCTTTCCAACCGTTTTTTTTAAAATAAAAAGTGACATGCTAACACAATGTTAGTTAAAACATAGTAATTTCTTTATTCAACAAGTATGTATTGAGGGCATTGTCTGTGCTTATCCTTGTTACATTCTGAGAATACAGTCATGGCCAAGATAAAAATAGTCTCTGATCATGTGGAACTTATGTTCAATGGAGGGAGATAGAGCATAACCCATAAATATAAAAAATAATATGATATGAAGAAAAAGAAAGCTAGAGAACGGGATGGAGAATGTAGAGAATGTTAATTTAGAGAGATGGTCAGGGACAGCTTTTCTGGGAAGGTGACATTTAAAATGGGGCTTTCAGAAAGTGAGGAGGTGACCAATATGGATATCTGGGGGAAGAATTTTGTGGGGAAAAGGTAAAAAATAAGTGATAGGAGCCAGGGAAGAGAGAATGTGTGGGGTGTCTAAGGACCAGTGAAGAGAATAGAATGGTTGTTGTTGAGTAAGAAAGAGGGAGAGTGGCAAAAGATGAGGTCAAAGTGGTGACAGGGGCTAGATACAATGACAAGAATATGTTAGAGGAAAGAGAAAACAAGGGTGAGACTATTCAGTATAGAACTAAAACACTGGGAGTCAGGTTATAAGATATATGAAGAAAATAGTAAAAAGATGGTATCTTTTTTATGTGCTTGCTCTCCTGCCAACCAAAAAGGCAGGCCCTAACTCATGGCCTGGCCCTAATCTTACCTCTTTGTTTACAAATTTGATTCTGCTCTGTGCTACCCTTCCTTACTCAGTAACTTCTTCTCAGCAACACCTTGTAGGTGAGCGTATGACTTTGAGTATATACCTCAATTAGAGGATTCACGGAAATAGCTTCCTGCCAACATCTAGTGGACCTGTGAGATATGCTTAGAAGCAAGAACTCCTCATGCCAGAGGTCCTGGAATTTACCTATGTCCCCAATGGTTTTTTGTAAAGATTTTATTTATTTATCTTTAGAGGGGAAGGGAAGGAGAGAGGGAGAGAAACACCAATGTATGGTTGCCTCTCATGAGTCCGCCAGGGGGAACTGGCCCACAACCCAGGCATGTGCCCTGACTGGGGCTCGGATCATGATTGCTTGGTTCGCAGGGCCATGCTCAATCCACTGAGCTATGCCAGCCAGGGCCCCAAAGTTTTTAAATGATGCCAAAGGTCCTTTGTGTTAGTTTCTTTCTAAAGGTGAGGCAACAGTGGCAGTGAGACTAAGTGCTTTGAACTATTTGGGCCTCAGTTTCCTTATCTGCAAAGTGGGCCGTTCATAAAACTAACTTGTTTCCCAGTGTATAGATGAAAATAAGATAGGTGTAATGATGATGAGAAAGGTAAATATAAATTGGCTTTTAAAAGCAAAAAGGTAAGCAAACTTTTTCATAATAACAAAGATACTAAGTAAAAGTAGACCATGGGTCCATATTTTTCTTGTCCAGAAGATAGCCAAAATAAAAATAGATAACACACTTGGTAGAAGAGGCAAGGGGTAAATATGCTCTATCATACACTGAAGATGAACAAGCAAAGTGACACAAACCATATAGAGAGCAATTTGGCATATCATTTGACCTAGTAATTACACCTTTGTATGTATATGTAAAGTAATGTGTAGGAAGTTCATTGCAGCATTGTTTATAATATCAAAAGGCTGAAAACTAACAAATAATCTATTAAGAGGAAACTAAGTAAATAAATTATGTTATATCCATATAATAGTATATCTTGTAGCTATAAAAAAGGTGAGGAAAGAGACTTCTGCCAAGATGGAGGTGTACGTGGAAACACTGTGCCTTCTCGCACATCCAAGTTTGAAGACAATAAAGTTTTAGTAACAAAAAAGGCAGCCAAAACAGAGAAAATTGAACTATACAGAAGTCTGACAACAACAAACTGTTCAGCCAGACCAGTAAGAGGGGCAGAGCCAGCAGCATAGTGGGGTTGGGCATGAAAAATCTCCTGGCCGTGGGCGGATCCCATGCATGTGGTGGCAGTGGGCCGACCCAGTGAGGGCGCGAGGCAGAAGGCTGACCGCAGTCACACATTCCCGTGCAGATAAACCAGGTGAAGGAGTGAACAGTGAGACAGACCATGCAGGCCCCAATGGCGGGAAGAAGCAGAGGGGACTGCTATTGCCCCTCTTTGACCCCTCCCCCACATACAGCATCACAACCCAGCGACCTGGGTGGCCCCACCTTGGTGAACACCTAAGGCTTTGCTCCTCATATGTAACAGGAGTGAACAGACCAAAACATGGCTCAAGAAGAAGTCAAAGCCCCAGAGCCAATAACTCTAAGCAACCAAGAAATAGCCAACCTATCAGATGCACAGTTCAAAATACTGGTGATCAGGATGCTCACAGAACTGGTTGATTTTAGTCACAAATTAGAGGAACAAATGAAGGCTAAACTAATTGAAGTAAAGGGAAATGCACAGAAAACCAATAGTGATGGAAAGGAAACTGGTACTCAAATCAAGGGAGTGGACCATCCCTGGCTGGTGTGGCTCCGTGGATTGAGCGCAGGCCTGCAAACCACATGATCATGGTTTGATTCCCAGTCAGGGCACATGCCTGGGTTGCGGGCCAGTTCCCAGCAGGGAACTCACGAGAGGCAACCTCGTGAGTTATACATTGATGTTTTTCTCCTTCTCTCCTTCCCTTACTCTCTAAAGATAAATAAATAAAATTTAAAAATATATTTAAAAAAAGGGAGTGGACTAGAAGGAAGAAAAAAATGACCAAACAGAAAAATATGAAAAAACAAGAATTCAAAAAAATGAGGAGAGGCTTAGGAACCTCCAGGACATCTTTAAATGCTCCAACATCCGAATTATAGGGATACCAGAAGGGGAAGAGAAAGAGCAAGTGGAAAACTTATTTGAACAAATAATAAAAGAGAACTTCCTCAATCTGGCAAAGGCAATTGACTTCTAGGAAATTCAGGAAGCTCAGAGAGTCCCAAAGAAGTTGGACCCAAGAAGAAACACACCAAGGCACATCATAATTACATTAGCTAAAATTAAAATGAAGGAGAGAATCCTAGAAGCAGCAAGAGCTAAGGGGACAGTCACCTACAAGGGAGTTCCCATCAGACTGTCAGCGGATTTCTCAAAAGAGACCATACAGGCAAGAAGGGGCTGAAAAGAGGTATTCCAAGTCATGAAATCCAAAGACCCACATCCAAGATTGCTCTATCCAGCAAAGCTTTCATTGAGAATGGAAGAACAGATAAAGTGCTTCTCAGATGAGATCAAATTCAAGGAGTTCATCATCACCAAGCCCTTATTATATGAAATGTTACAGGGACTTATCTAAGAAAAAGAAGATAAAAAATATGGAGAGTGAAAGGACAGCAAACTCACAGTTATTAACAACCACACCTAAAACAAAAGCAAACTATGAGGACAGCTAGATCAGGAGTGGAAACATAGAAATGAAGATCACATGGAGGGTTAGCAACAGGGAAGTGGGAGTGGGAGAAGGTACAGAGAATAAGTAGCATAGATGGTAGGTAGAAAATAGATAGGGGGGAGGGCAAGCATAGAAGGGGAGATATGGAATCTAAAGAACCTGAGACATGTGATCATAAACTAAAGGGGGGGAATGGTGG